GTTTGGCTCAATGGATAGAGGATCGGCCTGCGAACTGAAAGGTCCCAGGTTTGATTCCGGTCAAGGGCACATGCCCGGGTTGTGGGCTTGATTCCCCAGTAGGGGGTGTGCAGGAGGCAGCCTATCAATGATTCTCATCATTGATGTTTCTATCTCTCTCTCCCTCTCCATTCCTCTCTGAAATAAAAATATATTTATTTATTTTTTAATATATTTTATTGATTTTTTACAGAGAGGAAGGAAGAGAGATAGAGAGTTAGAAACATCGATGAGAGAGAAACATCGATCAGCTGCCTCCTGCACATCTCCTACTGGGGATGTGCCCGCAACCCAGGTACATGCCCTTGACCGGAATCGAACCCAGGACCTTTCAGTCCGCAGGCCGATGCTCTATCCACTGAGCCAAACCGGTTTCGGCATGAAATAAAAAAATAAAAAAATAAAAAGGATATGTATTTGGGCACTCTCTCTCTCCAGGGAGCACAACCTATGCCATTCTCTTCCCTTTTCCTTCCTCCACAGGCGCGTATCCCCTAACCTCTAAGGGACCTCATGAGACTTGCAACCAGAGCAATGGGCAGTGGCAGCTCGTCCCAGGCTAACCCCCTAAACCTGTCTCTAAGGTCCCTTATCATGACTTTCCAGTGAGCCAAAGCAAACCCTGCCTATGCTCTCCTGTTCCTCCTTCTATGGCCTTCCTTTTTTCACTCTCCTATATATATTTTTGCTACAGTCAATAAATTCTTGCTTGCTTTTCTACATTTTGTCTCTTGATTGAAATCTTTCCCTTAAGACAAAAAAAGAAAGGCTATGTATTTGTGTACCCACAAAAACAACCAGTTGTTGTCACAACTGGGGGAGGGAGGTGCTGCTGGCATATGGTGCGCAGAGCCCATGCTGAACACCCCACAATGTACAGCACAGCTCCACAACAACAAAGAATGATCCAGTCCAGTGCGTCACTGCTGAGGTTGAGAAGCCCTGCTCTGTAACCTGGCTACTGCTAGCACCTCTGTGGTCAGAACTGTACATCTAATGCTGTGAACAGTTAGACATTTGGCGGAATTTTACAAGGGGCACTTGGGTGGATTTAGGTTTGGAGAACTTGCTTTCCTTTTTTTTTTTTTTTTAAAGCATTCAAATATCTAACATATAAATAAAGCATACTCAGAGCACAAAAAGATACCAGTATATGGTAAAAAGTAAGTCTCCTTTCCACCCTGGCTCCAGCCAGCCAGATCCCTTTGAAGAAGGCAAACCCCTGTCACCAATGTCTTTTATGTGCTTTGTAAGTACTGAAGCACACAAGAGCACAAGTACTGATGTAAGACCCGTTCCTCTCCCTCCAGGGCCCCCATCCCATGTGGCAGCACATTCTATATACGGCTTTGCACCTCACTTTTTTTCTTTTACTTTTATTAGTATTTATTTTATGCTGCATTTACTCCGGGACCATAATTTTTTGTTTCTTCAGCTTCTTCTGGGATGTCTTTTTCTTCTGTGCAACCTCCTCTTCTGGTTTACAAACAATGTGCTCTTTTTCAGTGAGGATCATCTCAATGTGGCAGGGAGAGCTCATGTATGGGTTAACCCGCCCATGAGCTCTGTAAATTCTACGCTGCATCTTGGGAGCTTTTTTCACCTGGATGTGCTCAATGACTAAAGAATCTACATCTAAACCCTTAAGTTCAGCATTGCTGTCTGCATTTTTAAGCATGTGCAGCAAAAATTCAGCACTCTTTTGGGCCACCAACCCTGCGTCGAGCCCCACTGTTCTGCCTGGGCACACCAACCCACTCCACCATTTTAACGACGGAATGGCACACACTGCAGCTGTAAAGTGACATCCCTCAGATACTTGGTGGCTTTTCAAATATGCATACCCTTGATGGTCTGGGCAGTCTCATGAGTGTTCTTAAAGTGAACATGAAGATTTGAGCCTCTTGATTTGCAAGATTTTGTGGTGTTTTCTGGGTCAAGTGACTAGAAAACAATTTTCAAAGGTCACCTCTGGCCACTTTGGGGAAGAGGAAGAGCGGTGCACCTCACTTTTTCACTTAAATATCATAGGGATTGTCCCATTTGCAGCACATAAATTTGTTTCATTCATTTGAACAGCTAAACAGCACATAATATGGTCAATTGAAAGACCCTGAGGCAGTTTACAATATTTTGCTACTATTGAAAATGCTGCATGAAATAACTTTGTATACATAGGCTTTTGGGCAATACATTCAAGATAAACTGAGTTAATTCCCAGCAGAATTGCTAGATTATATGGCATACATTAAAAAAATTTTTTTTTTAAATCCTCACCTGAGGATATTTTTTTTATTGATTTTTAGAGAGAGTGGAAGCAAGGGGGAGAGAGACAGAGAGAAAAACATCAATGTGAGAGAGACACATCGATTGGTTCCCTCCCTCGCCCAACCAGGGCCAGGAATCGAGCCTGCAACCGAGGTATGTGCCCTTGACCGGAGTCAAACCTGCAACCTTTCAGTCCATGGGCCAACACTCTTAACCATGAGCCAAACCGGCTAGGGCTACATCTTTTAAATTTTAATGGATTTTCTTTTTAATAATACAACAATAAAAATTTAATAGGAAAATGAGTTACTCAAGTGCTCTATTAGATGCTTTAATAACTACATATACCTTGTATTCTAATCTTAAAACATACTGGTCACAGGAACCACGTAGAAGCAAATAGTTCCTTTTATGACTTTGCTTTTAACCTTGCAAAGTCAGGACAACAAAATGATAGGAGTAAAAAGACAGACAATAACTGAGGATGTAGAGAAATTGAAACTCTGTTGCGTTACTGGTGGGAATGTAAAATGGTGCAGCCACTTTGAATAACAGTTTGGGCACTTCTTTAACATGTTAAACACAGAATTACCATATTATCCAACAATTCCATCCTAGGTATAGAGAATCAAAAATATTAGTCCACACAAAAACCTGTGTACAAATGTTCATAGCAGCATTTTTCATAATTGGAAAAATACAAATGTCCATCAACTAATTAATGGATAAACAAATATGGTATATCCATATAATGGAATATTATTCAGTCATAAAAATTTACATGCTATTACATGGATGAACCTTGAAAACATTACAGTAAGTAAAAGTCAGTCATAAAAGACCACATATTATATAATTCCATTTATATGAAATGTCTACAACAAATAAATTCATAGAGATAGAAAGTAAATTAGTGATTGTCAAGGGTGAGGAGTGGGGGACAGAATGGGAGTGACTGCCAACAGGGATGGGGTTTATTTCTGGGATAATTAAAATGTTTTGAAATTAGTGATAGTTGCACAGTTCTAAGTATAATAAAAAAAACCACTGAACTGGTTTTTTATATTTTAAAGGTGTATTCTATGGTAAGTGAATTCTATGATATGTAAATTATATCTCAATAAAGCTGTTATTTTTAAAAAAGGATGTATGGAAAGTATCTTGCATACTGAAATTATTTCATGAAAAGTTAGCCCCTTTTGAAAGAGATAAACTAAAACTCAAGGTGATCTAAAGTGCTTTAGGTATAATAGAATATTTTCAACAGAACTTAGTGGTTCATTTTATTTGTTCATTTGTTTAAGTGTATAATTCAGTGGTATTTAGTGTATTCACAATGTTGTGCACTTGGGTTCACTATTAGGTTGTTAGAACCTGAAAACCGATCTGTTGATTAACAAATCTACTGAACAACTAGCCCATTCTTAGTTATTTCCAGGTGTTCTGGAGATTAAGGAGTAACAGTTCTCATCCTCAAGAAATCTAAACCACTCTTAGAAAGAGATGAAATGTAGTGAAGGGAGCCATCACCATACAATGGACTTTCAGGGGCAGCAAGAAAAATGATCTCCATGAAGAAATGAGTTTTCTAGATCAGGTTTTCCCCAGTATTTAACAGGTCCAGAAAATCCTGGTTTTCATAGATTTAAAAAAAGATCAAGAAATGAGTAAAAACAGATTTTTTAAAAAACCTCCAAAACAAAACGATAGTTACCAAAATGACTCAGGAAGTTACATTAAGTGGCAAAGTCAGTCATTTGCCATGAGTGTGTGACAGCCTAAGATCAACATTAAACTGTCCTAACACTTTATGAGTAGGACACTTTCTTTTCAGTTGGGGCCACATCCCAGGTGACTTTCTATCACCTGCAGAGCCTTACACGCAGAGAAAAGAATGAACATAATCATCCTTAAGCACAAGCAGACACAGGAAAGGCCCAGCTGCATTCAGGCTGAATCTTCTACTGCTTGTCTGAATATGTATCACATTATGGTAATCTATTTCTTCACTCCTACATCACATTACTACTTAAACTGGATAATACTATAATGGGAACAGAGGAAAACTCAAACTATAAACAGGAGGGACACAATGTAGGAGAGTGGTTAAGAGCACAGGCTCTGGAGTTAGACCTGCTTTGGGAATTATCAGCGATGTGACTTTGGGCAAATAACATCTGTGAATCTGTTTCTTCATCTGTAAAACAGAATGCAACTACACAACAGTAGCACCTAACAAAGGTTCTTATGAGAATTAAATGACATTTCTGTGGAGCTTACTATGTGTCATTAAAAAAAAGGTTAGCTGATTTTATGAAGACTGGGAACTTTCACAAATCACAAAGCTCTAAAAGAGAGGTCATTTTCCACCGTCTTCTTCTTTGCAAAGAAGAAGAGTGCCTGGAATAGATCAGAGTGGACCAGACAGGCAATAACCTTTTGTTGAGTGGCCCCCAAAATTAGGATACAGTTGCATATTAGAACTGGGAAACAATGAATAAAAACCAAAACTGTGAAGGCTTTCCGAGGTTCATCTGGACACTGTCTTCAGGTATGTTGGCTACATCTGGAGCCTTTTATCTGATAAACCCGAGTTTGTTCTAAACTACATCTGAGGGTACAATTACCTCAAACCTCACTGTCTACATTGTCATGTAAATTCACACTATGAGTCTAAATAGGTGTTTGCTTACCATTTAGAGGGATTAAACAGCATCTGAGGAGGTTCAAATATATAAACTGAAACTGGTCAAAAAAGAATAGCCACATTTCAGAAAATATACCATTGGTGAGCTTTTTCCGTGATAAGGTAATATTTTTTAAAAGGAGGCACAGTGAATTTAAGACATTGACATTTATAGCCGTAGCTCGACGCTTACTCTTGGAGGCCCAATTATCATCCCTGTCCATCTTGTAAGTGTCATGTCTTCGTCATCTTCTAGACCCCAGCTAACTGTGCCATCTCCTACTCCTTTCTGGCCTTCTTCGAGTTCTTCCAACAGTCGAAAATTGCGAGGGACTTTTACTCCTAAAATAAATGGAAAGAAATTCAAGATACTAGCAACTCCAGGGGAACTTGTAAACCTAGAGTTAGTTGCTCATTATCACTACCTGGGACTGAAGATGCTAACATGCAAATAATGCTGAAAGTTGTTGCACCTCAAATTTGCTGCTTTCCAATCTATTTGTAATTGACCAGCACAACCAGAAGGAAGGGGCTTATGGTATTGTTACAGGTGAAGTGACAACTGAACCAAGAAAGACACCCCACCCCATTTCCGTGTCTTTGATGAACTTCATAAAGGGATTACATGTGGAAATGCTGATTCATTTGGGTCCATTAATTAGATGAAAACCATCAATATCAATTGCTAACAAAAGTGCCTTGAAGACAAGAAGCGATTTCTTTTGTTTTGATCTTATTACACATTTCTGTGCTCATTTGTTAGAATGACTCTCAAACTCCTTAGGAGGAAGAGGTGTCCTGACTGCATCAAATAACAACAATGTCCTCTTGATCACTAAGAGTGAATCAAAGGCACCAAGGATAACATTTTCAATTATTTAAGCCATAGTTTCCCTCTTAAAAGAGAAGCTAAAAGAGGGTAGTCAGTTCTCTGATTTATTTGTTTCTAAAAACCCAAAGCCTGACAAGGAAGTACACACCTCACAGGTTCCAGCCACTACTCCCGAGTTCAGACTGAGGCTTGAGCCGTTCCTGGGTGTCTTCCAGAACAGAGCCTAGGTACTGGGGCCAGAGAGGGATGAGGCTGTAGGAGGGCACAGAGCAACTCTCCTAGGGTTGCTCTCCCAACCAGTCCTGACTATTTCTCCTTCCTCCCACCTCTTTCCCTGGAATTTGGACTATTCCTCTGGATAAAACTCAGGATCCAGGCAAGTCATAAGCTTTCTTTGCCTTAAATGCTGAGCCCCCCAACTGGCTAGACTCTCAGAGACAAGTAGCTCAACATAGGACTGTGAACAAAGACCTACTAAAGGGACTCAAGACGGTGGAAGATGTTCCCGGTATATCTCAGTATTTCCCAAAGTGTAGGATGCATGCTACTATTAATTCAATTTGAATAAATATCTGAGCATCGACTATATATCAGACACTTTTCTAGGCAATGGGGAATAAGTAGTGAACAAAACAAAATGCCTGCCCTCATGGTGCTTACACTCTAGTGGGACACATATAATTGATAAAATAAACATGCAAATTATGTAGTATGAGAGATGGCGGTGTTCTGGAGCACAAAGTAATGAAAGGAGGAGTTACAATTTTAAATAGGGTGATCAAGGAAAGTCTTACTGCAATCAGGAGTCATGACTACAGACTTGAAAATGAGGGAGCCTGACATATGGAGGGGGAGTGGAAGGGAATCTTCCAGGCAGAGGAAATAGGCAAGTGCAAAAGCCCTGAAGGAGGACCTTGCCCACAGCGTCAAAGAAGAGCAACCATGCTAAGTCAGCTGCAGCAGAAAATTAGGGACTTCAACTATTATTGAGTGACATAAAAAAGCCACTGGAGTTCTAAACAGAAGAGTAACAGAATCTGACTTGTTTTAACAGGATCCCTCTGACTACTGTGTGAAGAACACAGTGAAGGGAGCTAGGGCAGAAACAGCTAGGAGGCTATTCCAAGAATCCTGCAAAAGATAATACTGGCTTGGACCAGGGTAATGGCAGTGAAGGTGGTGAGAAGTAGCACAATTCTAGATATTTAGAAATCTGAACTGGTAAGATTTGTTGTCAGATTGCCTATGACACATGAGAGAAAGAGGAGTAAACTATGACTCCCAGGCTTTTGGTTTGAACAACACATTAGATGATTTTAGGTGCACATGAATGAACTTGCTTTTACAGTCATGTATTTATTTTTAAGAATAACTTATTTAGGGCAAGTAATATTATACTAACTTCTCATTTATGCTGATGGTAAAATTTTCCTTTTAAAATAAATGTAAGTGCCGTTGCTGGTTTGGCTCAGTGGATAGTGTCTGCCTGCGGACTAAAGGGTCCCAGGTTCCATTCCCATCAAGGATACATGCCCAGGTTGCGGGCTTGATCCCCAGTAGGGGGCGTGCATGAGGCAGCCGAGCAATGATTCTCTCTCACCATTGATGATTCTATCTCTCTCTCCCTCTCTGAAATCAATAAAAATATATTTAAAAAATAAAATAAATGTAAGCAAAATCTGAAAGCATACTTGAATGGCTTCTCTGGGAAACACTGCCATTTTTCATCCATACAACAGCCAACTGGATTATTTAACTATTGTGGATTAAGTCTCCTCCAGCAAACACAAAACTGAAGGATGTTTGTGACATTATAAGCAAAGAGTCAGAGAACACATCTTTTGTTCAAAGAGTTAAATGTAAATCTTTAATAATCCTAACTAATTTGGATTAGGGAAAAAAATCACTGTGCATTACTAACTGGTTAATTTATAAACCTAAACTAATACAAATGAATAGTCAACAAAGAGCATAGAATCATACTGATAGGAAGACTGATAAATATCTGAATACCTGACCACAGATGGTGTAATGGGCTGAATTGTATCCTCTTAAATTCATGTTGAAGCCCTAACTCCCAGCATCTCAGAATGTGACCATATTTCGAAACAGTGCTTTTAAAGAACGGATTAAGTTAAAGTGAGACCATTAGGATGGGTGCTAATTCGATTTAACTGATGTCCTTAGAAGAAGAAACTTAGACACACAGAGACAATAAGGATGCACCTTTGCATGGAGTAAAGACCATGTGATGAGGACACAGTGAGAAGGCAGCCATCTGCAAGCCAATGGGAGAGGCTTCAGAAGCAACCAAACCTGCTGACACTGATTTTTTTTACTTCTAGGCTCCAGACTTTGAGCAAATAAATTCTGTTGTTTAAGCCACCCAGTCTGGTATTTTGTTATGCAGCCCTAGTAAACTAATATAGATGCTAAGTGACATCTTAAGCTTAAATTGGAAAGGAAACAGACCAGATAGCAACAGTGGTTACCTCTGGGTACAAAGTTTATGGGTGATTTCCCCCGCCCCCCTTTTCTTATTTCCTGACTTCTTTTACCTCTCTTTCTATTTGCATAGCAAAACAAAACAATAACCATATACTCAGGGCCCACATCAACCACACTGTAGGCAAAGGTCCTACTTCTGGGCCTTTGTACTTGCTATTCCCTCTGCCTGAAACACCCTTCCCCAGATATCCATCAGTCATGCTCCCTCACCTTCTTCAGGGCTTCAATTGTACGACACCTGATTGCAATATGGATCGCAGAATCTCTGAAAGTGGGAATTTCATTTAATGGTATTCCCTAAGTGACTAATAACTGTGCCTGCGTTTTTTAATATTACCAAACTTGTTCAAGTCTAATTAACAATGGCAAGTACAATAACTCCCATAGCTAAGTCCTTCATTATTGAGTGAAGTTGCTTTTTTTGGTAAGATAAATGTGCTGCTTTCTTGTGTCAGATAAAATTTAAGTCAGGCTGGATTATCTACTTCTGGTATGACTATTCCTCTTGTAAACTTTGGCAAAGAACATCCTTGTGGGTAGAAATGTTATCTCTTCATCTAACATCCAGATTATCACAAGCTCATTGTTATTAGTTTCAAAACAGGTGATGAATTCAAGGTATATTTTTCTGATGTTTGAGTCCTACTTGTGAAGTAGGAGAAAATATATTAGTAATGAATCCTATACTTCCAACATATATTCCCATGGGGTTAGACATTCAAATACTTTAATAAAAGTGTGCAAAGCCTATATGCACAATTGAACAACAACAGAAAGAGTCAGTTAAACAAACTTATTTTAGGTTAGCCTTTGGAACAGTAACTGAGCACCACAGAGGGCAAAGTCAGCTTTTTGTTATTACAGCAGTACTGACATAGGATAATTTGATTTGACTTAATTATAAAGAAGGCACCAGAAATAGCTTACTAAATAAATAACTTTGGATTGGTTAATATCTATTAGGCACTCTTAAAATATTCCAAGCAGGAGTTGGAATATACATATAAATATCAGAATAATTGTACTTTATACTGATTAATGACAATAAGCATTTATTCCATTTGAACAGTAATTCTCAAACTTTTTTGGTCTCAAAACCCCTTTATACTTTTAAAAATTACTGAGGACTTCAAAGAGCCTTTGTTGATGTGGGTTATAGCAATTGATATATACTGAATTAGAAATTAAAAGAGATTTTTAAAAAATATTTAATTCATTTAAAATTAACCACAATAAACGATTGCATGTTAAGATAACATATCTTAATGAAATAATTATATTTTCCAAAGAACAAAATAAAATTAGTGAGAAGAGTGGTATGATTTTGCAAATTTATTTAACATCTGGCTCAAACAGGTTTAAGAACTGAGGTGAGCTGGAGAATACACATCCTGTCCAAAGGGGACAGTCACTCCTTGGCTCTGGCCAAATGTCTGTGGGTCATACTCTGTCTATGGTCCAACACTTTGCAACATCCCTGGGGTCACCTAATTATCCTCAAAAATCCCTTTGACACTCAACATCCTGACCTAGGGTTAGCTCAGCACATATTTTAAACTCTTTCTTTCGTCAGAACGATAAATAAAAATTGATAAACGTTGTGTTAGGCATCAGGCAGTTAAGTACTCTAACTTTATTAACCTTTATTTAGCTAACTTTTGTATGCAAGCCCACAAACTGAGTAGCATTTAAAGGAGACTTACTTTTTTTTTTTTTTAATCCTTACCCGAGGATATTTTTCCATTGATTTACTAGAGAGAGTGGAAGAGAGGGAAAGACAGAGAAATATCTATGTGAGAGAAACACATTGATTGGTTGCCTCCTGCACGAGCCCAGGCCAGGGCCGGAGAAGAGCCTGCAACTGAGGTATGTGCCCTTGATTGGAATCGAACCCGGGACCCTTTGGTCTGCAGGCTGACGCTCTATCCACTGAGCCAAACCAGCTAGGGGTAAAGGAGCCTATATTTTTAATTCATTTTTTTCTAAGCTATAAATTTTTATT